GGTTTTAGGGCATGTATCACAGTCGCTGAGGCCTGCAGGCAGTGACTCTGTTTAATGACTTGCCTGTATCCTGCTTTGTTCTCTTAGGTATGTAGGGGAAGGGGCAGCTGCCTCAGCTTTTCTTAAGGGGCTCAATGGGGGCTTTAATGGGTGATCATTTGGAGTCTGGGGTCTTTCTGGGGTCTTTCAATAGAAGTTAATCATTATAGTATAATAATAATTACAGTAAAATAATTAATCATTATAGTATTTTAGAGAACGATAGTTTATAAGAATAATAGAAGTACAGTAACTTGAAAATTGTTTTGTAGGAATAAAACCAAATCTAGGACATACCAACAAATATTACATCTGAAAGACAAATAGTATTTTTCTCAATCCTGCCATATTTTCAAAATGTTTAGGAAACACTGAACATTTTTACATGTTTGTATGTAATGTTTCAGCTATTTGTAAAATATTTAACGAAGTTCAAGCTAAAGCACATGATTCAGACATTACATGTCTCACACATCTTTTAGAATTAGTATTTTTCTCAGACAGATCAATTGCTGATGTAGGTATGGCATTCTGAGAATAGAAAATAGTGGTGAGTGTAGCACATTGCCTCTATTGCTTGGTCAAAACAATCAAGTATTCATATTTTTTCTCTTGTGTTCTTCAAATGCCACTGTAACAAAGATCTGCTCTGCTCTAGATTGTCTGTTGTTTCTTCTTCTCTTGAAAGAGATTGCCATGGCTCTGCAGTTCATTTTGTCTGAGTTATAACAAAAGTGTTGTCTGCAGCATGGGAGAATTTAACTCTTCTGCTGTCGGAAGTTTGTTTCACATCAGTTATTCTGTTGAGATGGATTATAGTGTCATTTTGTGATAACAATTTTATCTCTCAGTGTGACAGTCACAGCAATCATTAGAGAAGTTATTTGATTAAATAAACCTTTTTATATGCTATTTTATTGACCCTTAAGAGGGAAAATGACTTAACATGTCATAATTATTTCTGGCATATATTTCTTTAAAACCACCAACAGAACTTGATCAGAGGATTGCTTCAACTACTTACCTAACTATAAAAACAACCATGTATACATTTTTTTGGGGGGGTCCGGTCGTGGGACTTGAACTCTGGACCTGGGCACTGTCCCTCAGCTCTTCAGCTCCAGGCTAGCACTCTACCACTTGAGCCACAGCGCCACTTCTGGCTTTTTCCTTTTTGCTTATGTGTTGCTGAGGAATCGAACCCAGGAATCGAACCAGGGCCTCAGGCATGCAAGGCAAGCCCTCTACCACTGAGCCATCTTCCCAGCCCCCCATGGATACATTTTTTTGAATAAGGAAAACTCTTGTAAATGTGTATGTTCCCTGATTTTGACATAGTGTTTGAAGTCACAAATCTCAAAAGTACCAAAGTGAATCTTTTAGTGTATGTATATTCCACAATACTCAATGTTTGCTCCCTGCAGGTAGATGGCATGAGTCTTCAGGGAATAGAGAAAACCTTCTAAGTATCTCACTTTATGTAGATTTCATTGTGCTCCAGGACGAGACAAAGGTAGCACAGGCTCCACACATCTCTAGTAGCAGACTGACTGCCACACCATCATTATTAGTACCAATTCTTGATTTTGTGTTGTCAGGACTTACTCTAATAGCTTCCTGTGCATTTCCTTGTTCTTGCTTTTTATCAAAGTGGGAATTACCACATTTACAAACAAAAAAGTTCAAGCCAAATATTTTGATTAGCATATTTAATTAGTGTATTTAGAAAATTCAGATGAGTATAGTTTAATTGTGATCCAAATATAGTTCTGGCACAAGACCACAAGCTCTTAGTGGTTAGGTGTGCTGTGTAGCCTTTCTATACTATCCCAACCTTATTGACAAGTTAACAACATCTTGCTCTATTGCTAAATGCTTGTGCATTTTCACTTCTTGTCTCAATTTGATCTTTCCACACAATACCTGTTGTGAATTTCAATAAATTGTTTTGAAATCATTTTTTTCTGGTATTAGGGTTTGAACTTGGTCTTGTGCTTGCTTTGCCTGCTCTACTGATGCACTACTACTTGAGACACATCTTCAGTTCAACTTTTTGCTTGCCAATTCAAGATGGAGTCTCTTGGACTTTTCTGCCCTGGGTAGCTTCAAACTGTAATCCTCTGGATCTCAAGGTTTTGAGTATCTAGGATTACTGGCATGAGCCATGGGCACCTGGCAGAACTCTATATTCTTTGTCTTTATTTTTATCTAGGAACACTCCTTAGAGGGAATATTGGAAGATGTTCATGTTTCAGAAAGACAAATAAAAATAGAAAGGAAAAAAGAGAGAGAAAGAGAGAAAGGAAGAAAGAAGAAAGAAAAAAGGAAGAGAAGGAAATAAAGAAGCTATAGTTGCGATTAGTCATTCAGTGAACTGTTTAGGTCATTGAGAAAATACATGCAAACATGATTTTATTTTATAACTTTAATTTTAGATTGTATTACAACATGTAAGTCTCAAATATAACTACAATATAATTTTTGACAAACAAACATTTTGAGCATTTATAGATCTAAGAACAAATTACATGTAAACAGCATTGTTATATTCATGGCTATTTGCTTATTTTTTATTTGCTTATTTTTAAGAAGCAATTATTGATTGTTTTGCTTAAGAATAGTATAACATAAAGAATCACAGATTTATATTTTAAAGTGGATAGTTTCTATACACAGATCCTGAACCCAGGTCAGTTACTGAGCCATCTTAATTTAAATGACTCTGTTTTAATTATTTCATTAACATTTCTCTGAAATCACTATTGCAATACATTGTTTTATTTACAGATGCAGTTATTTTCAGTCTTTTAAATAAAGTTATCAAAATTCTATAAAAAGCTTGCTAAACATTTTGGGTTGCCATTTTTGACAGTATTTATAAACAGACTAGAATGTCACTTGTACCTTCACGGAACTATAATAAAGAGATTAAATGAGATTATCCTGTTTTTATTCAAATTATATCTAAGGATTTGCATTTAAATCTGTGTTTTCAGTTATTCTAACTTATATTTTGTAGTATAACCACCATATTGTGTCACTGGGTAAAATAAGTTCAGTGATTACATATGATTAGTACAACATTTTTATTACTGTGGCATCCAAAGTGTGATAATTTAATTGTAAAACTGTAACCTGCATAAAAGTCTAATTTTACTTCAAGCTTTAGTTTTACTTCAATGAACTCTTAGTGCCAAATATAATTTTTAAAGGAAACTCTCATGAGCATTGATTTCTGGGACAAGCATGTGTATACAAAACTTAATCATGTGATGTGTTTAAAATTATAGTTCACCATGTAGGCCAGCATGACATAGAAAAAGAGTAACTTTGTAATTCACTTTGGAAATACTAAGAAAAATCCATGTCAAGGAACCAGTCACCAGTATATTTTTAATTGGCATAAAAACCAGGCAAGGTAAAAACATTGATAGCAAATCACAGATAAACCTGCCCACCAAATATCTTTTTCATAGGGCATAATATAAAATTTACAATGCTGTTATATTTATCCAGGTGTAAAATCATTAAAATAAATGTAAGGGGATATTACTTTATTAACTGAATGCATTAAAATTTCTACAAATGTAAGATTTTTGTGTGGGTCACTAGTTGCATTATCGAACCCTATTTTCAACAGGCTCAGTGGGTATGTGGTGCAGTGCTCAATGTAGTCTTATAAACACTACATGGTATATCTCATTAACTTCAAAAGTGTTCAAATAGCCCCAGATGAATGATTAAACATAGCTATAAAATATCTTTGGTGCTAGGTTGAATTTCATATGTACTTTAGTACAAATGTCTAGAAGTAAGAATCTCCTGTATAGATGTTGAAAATATATCACAATTTAAAAACACTCTAGACATAAAGTTTTAGGTAAATATCCCTTTCTTGGTTTTGTCTTTTTCACAGCTGTATTTCTTAGTCTTTCCTTCTGTTTATTTATCATCTTTCACTATCTCTTCAACATTCAAGGTATGTTCAAACTTACATAGAAAATGGACCAGAAAAATAAAGAATATGCATTTTAATTACATATAAATATAATTCATGTCACTTTCAACTTAAAAAGAAAATGAATGAAGTATGCTTATATATTTGCTCTAAAAGTCCATCATAAATTTCAACAAAACCAACACTTTCTACTTATATAACTCAATTTTTGTCTACACATGGATAACTTGATTGAGGAAAGGTTTCATATTCCTGGAATAAACTCAGAGAATACATCAGAGCCATTTGTCTTCAGTGGCTATTGAAAAGCACTTCCTTACAAAAGAAAAATGATTAAATTTGTGGTAGGATGAATACAACAAGAGCAAAATGAATATGTGCTTTTAACATTGTAAACCATGGCCACTATATTGATGAATGGAAAATATACTTTATATCATAGACTACTGAAGAGAAAGTGGTGAAATCCAAAAGAATACTTCTACAGTTAGTGGCAAGAGCACTGCTATTTGCTATTTAATTTATTAAAAACACCTGTGAAGCAGGTGTTGGAAAGCCTGCCATATACCATGGCATGGAAGGCTGCCAAACACATTTAGGACACTATACAAATGATGTAGTAAATACTGTGCCCAAGTTCATTATCTGTTCAAACATGTTCTATGGTATCAAATAGCCAACTATCTATCCGGAAACACTGTACTAATGGGCCACATTGGATTTGTTTCAAGATAAAGGATGACTATACAAAACTGCAGAAGAAAAAGATGAATGTGGGGCAAAAGACATTAGGAATCTGGCCATTATCAGCACATCAGGGCACCAAGCCCAGTGTTGCATTGAATAAATAATAGTAAATAAAGAAGCTTAATTGGTTTTTCCCTTAATTATCTTTTTCTTTTAACTTTAAGGAATGTGATATATACTTCGAATAACTTTCACGATCTGTGGTTAATATATGACAAAAACATAATATGAATGAGACAGGGCTATCTGAGCAAGATGGAGTGGTGTGTGCTTGTAGTCCCAACTACTCAGGAGGCTCAGGTGGAAGATCACTTGAGCCTAGAAGTTCAGGTGGTATATTGAGACCCAGTCACAAAACAAAATAAAATGAAACAGAAAAAAGCAAAACACCTCAGAAGAATCATCTCTAAAACACAATACTATTAAGGTGAGTCTGTGAATCAGGATGGATGTGAGTCCAGGTACATGAAAAGTATTTGATGAAACAACCTATGTCTGTTTTTAATTTCATGGCGTTTTATAGATATTTAGAGATTAATTCTGATGCAATGTAGAATAGATTTAAGCACCTCAAGATACACAAGGATGTCTGTACATGGATACAAGACTCTAGCTCCTTAACAATTCAAACAAGATGTTTGAATTAAACCATCATCACTAATGTCCATTAATTTTTATAAGAATTTCTTTGCAAAGCCAAAGCAAAATACTTTTCATCGATAACCAAGTGATAAATATTGTCCTACTGATGTGTGTGTGTGTGTGTGTGTGCATGTATTCATGTGTGTGCAAATGTGTGTGCGTGTGCATCTGGCCTTTTATATTTACATGGGGGATATGAGTGATTACAACTTAGGGAAAAGATAAGCAGAAGTGAAAATGTTCCACCTGTTTTTCTGACTTAAAAAGAAAATCAATTTACTTTTGTTTCTGGTCATCTGCAATTCCTGCAGTTACTCTCACAATTCTTGCAGAATCATTACCAATGCAAAAGAGCCATCTGCTAATGCTGCCTATCCATCTCAGTGATTCAGAGCAAGTGACAGCACTGCTTTGGAGAATATTTTGATTAAAAAAAAAACATTTTTGGCATAGACCTCCTTAAAAGAGTCTTAGTAACACAAGTAAATCACCTTCACAGGTTGTAAACAATATTATCCGAAGTGAAACCCTATTGTGTGTTTTCTTTTCCATCTTTCCCTTTGTCTTCTTTTTCTGTTTTGTCGGTTTCATATTTTTCTTTGTCTGGTTTAGTTACACTATCGTAGGAAGGCGGAGAGATGGTAGATGGGGTTGCATCGGTTTTTTCTGGACTGGAGTTCTCATTAACATTAGCAAAAACGATGTCTTCTTTATTGGGTAAATTATCATCTTTGTCACCATCTTTTATGTATATACTGGAGATGTTTTTGACATTTTTCCGTAAGCGGTAGCGTCGATAAGAACGCTGAATGACAGTGGCCGACACGTCCTCTTGCTTTCGCTTTAATGTAGTCGTGATGGGTTCATAGGACACTTTGGAAGGATTGGCAGACATAAACCTTTCTTCCATCTGTGAGCGAAGAGAATCCATCTCTCCACTCTCCCCCAAAACACGCTTTGTAAAAGCAAACAAGATGTCGAGGCAGTGGATCCGGTCTCCACTCACCATGGGCAGGTCCATGGCAATGAGCTGGACTTTGTTGGGTTTTGCTATGAGAAGGGGAGGATCCAGGGCAGCTGCAAAATCAGAGAGTTTGCTGTATTCTATGAACTGGGTCGCATCCGGATCGAACTTCTCCCAAATCTCATAGAATCGCTCGAAGTCATCCTCGCTCAGGGGCTCTGTGCTTTCTTCCGTGGCCACGCTGAAGTTCTCCAGGATGACAGCGATGTACATGTTCACCACCACCAGGAAGGAGATGATGATGTAGCTGACGAAATAGAAAATCCCAACGGATGGGTTCCCGCAGTCTCCTTCTACTGAGCTTCCTGGGTGAACTTTTTTGGGATCACAGTCTGGGGGTGCACTATTAAGAATCGGGGCTAGCAACCCATCCCAGCCCGCAGACGTGGTAATTTGGAACAGGCAAATCATGCTGTTGCCAAACGTCTCAAAGTTGAACATGTCATTGATTCCAGCTTCCTTCTTCACGTAGGCGAAGTTGGACATCCCGAAGATGGCGTAGATGAACATGACAAGGAAGAGCAGGAGGCCGATGTTGAACAAGGCAGGAAGGGACATCATCAGAGCGAAGAGCAGCGTGCGGATCCCCTTGGCCCCTTTGATGAGGCGAAGGATTCGGCCAATCCGGGCAAGGCGGATCACTCGGAACAGGGTGGGGGACACGAAGTATTTTTCTATCAGATCTGCTAGAAACATACCTAAACAGGAGAAAAACAATAAAAAGTGTGTATTTAAATATTCATGAGTAAATTGTTTTATCTGCCATGTTATTATAGTGAATTATTATAATTATTATTACTGAGAATAATATAAATATATTATTATATGTACATGAATGGTAGATTTTGCTCTGTAGCCTAGACTAGCTTTGAACTCTTGATTTTCCTGCTTCCACCTATGAGTGCTATTATTATAGGTATGCACCTTATTATGACTGGCTATATGAAAATGTATAATATCTACTCATGTAGAAAATTCAAGCAAACACTGTAAAATGATAAGAAGGAAATATAAATCACCTATCATAGCTAATTAATATCCACTATCTGGGTGCCACTTTACATACTTTTCTATGCAAGTACAGACATACATGTATTCATGTATAAATATAATCATGTTACATGATTTTGTACCTTTTATTCCTAGTGCATTTTAGTCATTTCATCACATATCATGCAGATGCTGTAGACAATTGACAGTTTTTATGATTACATAATGATTTCAAAATATCTCATATGAAATAATAGCACTTGTTAGTTCCATTTTTAGCTAAATTGAGTGTCAAAATAGGTACAATTTTCTAAAAATTACATGACTTATGTGTTTTGATAACACATGAATAGAAGTTGAGACCAATAGCATGTCTAAAAATTTTATTATAATTTTCAAATCTGGTGAAAGTCTATATATATACCCATTAATAGTCTTTTTTAAAATTTTACATCAACTTTATTCTCAGAGCAACCTGTGTGAATCAAAGCCTCACACCCATTAATAGTCTTAATACAAATGTTCTATGCCAAGCTCAGCAGTATTGGGCACTACACTGAGTTACAATTTTACACACACACACACAAAATCTTGATGACATTTAAATTTATCTCTCACAGTGATTTATTTCCATTTTTAGAAGAACAATCTATAATTTTCGCACTTACTGACTATTCTATTATTTGTTTTTAAATTCTTTGTAGGTGAGTGGTATTTTTTACTTCTTTGCTCGACATTTTTGTAGGAGCAAATCAAATGTACATTGTGGGGCTTCATTGTGACTCTATATATAAGTATTGTGCACTTTGATCATATGCACTCTCTTGATTGCTCTTTTGAATGTCTGTTCTTAAAAAATATATATTGGGCTTCATTATTCTGTTTTCATGTACATGTGATTTTTTAAAAATCTGCCATGCCATTTTGTTTTGGAAGTTTTGGTTCATTGTTGGATTTAAATGTTGCATAAAATTTAACCATATTGTCATTCATATTTTAGTGCAGTGAATCTTCCCCCATTGGATATTTTTATTCTTATGCAGTTACATTCATGGTTAATATATACAACTCCTTTTATATGTTAGGGTTTGTGTCACAGATAAAAAGCTGTATTCAATTGAACAGTTAAAATATATTTCCAATAGCCTTGTGCCAGTGGCCTACACCTATAATACTAGCTATTCAAGGGACTGAGATCTGAGGATAATGATTCCAAGCCAGCCCATATAGGAAAGGCTGTGAGTCTCTTATCTCCAATAAACCACCAAAAAGCTAGAAGTGGATCTGTGGCTCACTTGGTAGAATGCCAGAGTTATACAAAAATGTTAAGGGGCAGTCCTCAGACTCTAAGTTCAAGCACTAGTACTGACACAAATAAAAGTTGATTTCTAATGCCAGAGATGTGAGAGAGGATGCTCAAGGCCCTCGTTTAGATACCTTTTATTACAAAAAAAAAAAAAGGATTTCCATGTACATTTAACTTCTTTCTTTCTTCCTTTCTTTTTTATTAAATAACCTTTGACTCCCATTTTGCATGGGGGGCAGAAAATGCTTTTTCTATTTCTCCATACTTTAACCCTGTCGTATTAAACTAAATATGCTTGTTAAATCTTACAATAAAATAAAAAAAACAAAACAAAAAATAAATAACCTTTGATTCATGTGATATTTTTTTTACCAGGTAAATTAGCAACTTTCCACATATTAAAGCTCAATTTTGGACTATCTTCTTGAATTTATTCAACTTTAATTAGTTAAATAATTAATACTCAACACCTAGAACTCTTGCTTAACTTTTTTCACTCATTGCTTGCTTGCTCTCTATCATTTAGATCAGACCTTTACTTCTAGGTCCTTTCTGAAGATAAGAATTTTGTGCATTTGTCTGTCTGGAATGGACTCTAAACTGTAATCCTCTGTATTCAGCCTCCAGAGTAGCTAGGATTAAAGACCAGAGCCTCTGGGCATTCAAGTGAACTTTCATTTTTAAACATTGTTGCTGGGTGCCTGTGGCTCAAGCCTGTAATCCTAGATACTCAGGAGGCTGAGATCTGAGAATCGCGGTTCAAAGCCAACCCGGGCAGGAAACTCTGTGAGACTCTTATCCCCAATAAACCACTAGAAATCAGGAAGTGGCGCTGTGGCTCAAGTGGTAGAGCACTAGCCTTGAACTGAAGAGCTGAGGGACAGCGCCCAGGCGCAGAGTTCAAGCCCCATGACAGACATATATATATATATATATATATATATATATATATATATATATCATCAGTAGTCTTAATATCAAGCGATATACAGCCACATCCCAATACTCTGATTTTTCTTCCTCATAAATATTAGAATGGTTTAGACTTGTTTTTCAGTTTACCACTCACATGATGTAAAAAGACTCATCAGTATGGAATTTATGTTAATTGCTAAAGGTAGTCATCATTTCAGTGACAGCCTTCCTCTTTTTTTTTTTTTTTTTTGTTGTTGGTCATGGGACTTGAACTTGGGGCCTAGGAATTCTCCTTTAGCCCTTTCATTCAAGGCTAGCACTCTACCACTTGAGCCAAATAGTGCCACTTCCAGTTTTCTGACAGTTAATTGGAGATCAGAGTCTCACCGACTTTTCTGCCAGGGCTGCCTTTGAACTGTGATGCTCAGATCTCAGCCTCCTGAGTAGCTAAGATTACAGGCATGAGCCATGAGTGCCTAGCTGAGAGCCTTCTTATCTAATTACAAAATAATCCTTAAAATTACTGCTTTTGGGTTATTTATACCTTATATATTATGTTGCAGGCCACAGTTCTTTCTAGATTTTTAACTTCATTTTTATTTCGATCATTTATTAATTTTTTTCTTCAAGTATATTTTCTATTTTTTCCACATTTGAAACAATGATTAATGTTGGCAAATGTAACTTAAGGTTTAATCTTTCTAGCTGAGTATGACTGCATATCCCTGTAATCTCAGAATTTATAGGGGAAGGCAGGGGATTGACAGTTCCAGGCCAAACTGGGTTACAGAGTGACATAACAAGACTATTTCTAAACCATAAGAACAAAGTATTTGTGACCTTTTTAAATTTACACTTTTCAGATATTGTAGCCAGTCATATAATTACTCAAAACTAAGGTTTATTATATGTTAGTCTTCCTGAAAACAGGAAGCAATATCATTTTCTTCACTGGCTTTCAAAACACACCTTTGAATAAATGCATTAGCCATTTTTCCAAAAGGTAAACTTGGAAACTAAATAGAAACTAAAAGTTCCTATGTTTACAGGAGAAACAATTGGCTTTCAAGTCTCATGTAAGTGTCAACCCAGGAATTCTGATATGGTTTTGTTTCTTTTCTAAAGTGCCTTCATTCTTCCATTTTTCTAGCTTACTCAAAAATAGGTTTACATTAAACAATTCTCTGAGTATGTGTGGGACTGGGTTTATTTGGAATTAAAATGTGGCTAATGAATATCCTTACCTACAATGGAGAGGATCACAACCACGAAATCAAAAATGTTCCACCCAACTGTGAAGTAGTAATGTCTGAGGGAGATCAGCTTCAGCACACATTCCCCAGTGAAGAGGATGATGAAAACCAGATTTATCCAGTACAAAACAATTGTCATGTTTTCACTTTGGCCCTCCTTCTCTACCATCATGGTTACCATATTGAGGCAGATAAGAACCATGATGGTAATATCAAAAGCTTGGTTGGTTACTAGGTCAAATATGCAACCTTGGAATTTGTTCTGTAAAAGATAAGAATAACATGAAAAGGAAAGTACATTCTTCTATATTCTCTACAAATGAAAAGTATTCATTAAAGATCATAAGCACAATTTAAGAGTTGGCATGGTTGTAATTGTGTGTGTGTGTGTGTGTGTGTGTTTACCCCTGGCCGAGGAATGGGCTTTTGTGGTTTCTTGGATCCCAGCTTTTTCATTGCATTGTAGTATTTCTTCTGTTCTTCTGTCATAAAGATATCTTGACCTCCAAGGTAAAGAAATAAAACACAAATCTAGTTAAAACCAGAATTACTGTGGATTTTTCTCCTGATTCATTAAATAGGTTAAATTTATTAATATAGAAATGAGATCTATTTTGTTATAGACATATCAGCTATGTGCAAAATTCGTCTTACACAGTTATTCATGTATTGGCACAAGTCTTTGTCTGTTATATGCCTATATAGACTATATAGATATATATTATATAATAATGATTTCCTCCATTGTTTTTCAATATATGAACAGTATATATAATATACACTGTGTGATGATACTTTCTTTTCCTGCTACTTTTCTTACCAGGCATTTTTTAAAATTTTGCTAAATAACAAAGATGTTAGAAAGGGTTATATGAATTAATAGTAATGCCTTATGTCAGTGGCTCATGCCTGTAATCCTAGCTACTCAGAAGGCTGAAATATGAGGACTATGATTTGAAATAAGCCTGGGAAGAAAAGCCTGTGAGACTCTGTGGCCAATCTACCAGCTAAAGACCAAGAGTAGCTGTGGCTCAAATTGTATAGTAACAGCCTTGAGCAAAAATGTTAAAACACAGTGCTCTGGCTTTGAGTTCAATCCCCAATACCAGGACACACAGAAATAAATAAATCAATAGTAGAAAATATCTCTTTGGGTGTTTTAGTTAAGGTTTAAGATTCTTACAAAGAGTTGAAACAAAATCAATTATGAAAATAATATTAGTTTTATATTAATTATATTTCTAGTCCAATAATAGAAAAATAGGTAAAGAATAATACATATGTAATACATATTTTGTTATCTACATCTGTTTCCATACCTATGTCTATATTTCAAGGAACTCTTTGGATTTTTAATTCCCCAAATCCCACAAATTCAATATATTTTATTACATAGTAGCTTATTGAATATCCACATTATATATGTAATGCTTTATTGAACATCAACATCATATATGCTATATATAATACATCAAAATATAATGTCTGACTTATATAACATTATGTATGCATCACATATAATGTTAACATTCAGTAAAGTATTATGTACTAAGTAAGTCACAAATCATCATTTCATAAAAGAAAATATAATCATTAAGCTCTAAGACATAAAATATCCTCATCATCTGAATATGGTTTTTAATCCTTTCTATACTGGAAAAGTCTAAATCTTGTAATTGGGTGCTAGAATGTTGTTATTCCTTCAAGCTATGACAATTTCTTTTAGTTGTTTGTAAGTCTTATAGTAATGTTCAAATTTTTATTTGATCTTAAAGTTTGTTTTCTTTAGTAATATTAGAAGAAGTCACTTAGAGATCTGAAGTCTGTGCTTAAACTTTAGTTGTGATAGTTTGAGCATCTGTAGCCTGAAAATCTGAAATGTTCCAAAAATTGTACTTTTTGAGCATCAATATGACACGTTAAAAATTCCATACCTGACTTCATGTGTGGACAATGGCCAGAATAGAAGTTCACAAAAACATTGCATAAAATCGCCTTCATCTTTTATGTGTATGAAACATAAATGAACTTTGTGTTTAGACTTGTATCCCATCCCCAAGATACCTCTTTATATATATGAAGACATTTAAAATTTTGAAAAAAATATGAAATGTCACATTGAACCTTAAGCATTTTAGTTAATGAGAATTAATTAAGCTAGTTTAAAGATGGTTCCTATTAACCTTCCCAGTAAGGTTGTGGTGACTGAAAAGTTGTTACTTAGAATTGACACAGAGTGAGTATCATTGTTCCATTAGTTCATCTTTTGTCCTGCTGTTTCTGAACTAAAAAACTTGGGAGAGAGGGAGTGAGGAGTGGTAAGCAGGAGAAAATGAGGGAAGGGGTAAGTGTTTAAAAAGAAATGTCCTTACTTATGTAACTGTAAAGCTCTTGTTCATTATCTTTACAATAAAGATAATTTTAAAAAAGAATTTACTCAGAGGTATCAAGTTCTATAGGATCTTTCTGTCAATATATATTGCTTTAGTATAGTATATAATTTTTCCTTCTTCTTCCTCTTCTTCTTCCTCTTCTTCTTCTTCTTCCTCTTCCTCTTCCATGTTGGTCATGGGTCTTGAACTCTGGGCCTGTGCACTATCCCTCAGTTCCTCAGTTCAAGGTGAGAACTCTACTGCTTGAGCCACAGCACCACTTCTGGTTGGAGATAAGAGTCTCACGAAGTTTCCAGCTTAGGCTGGCTTTGTACCAGGATCCTCAGATCTCAGCCTCCTGAGTGGCTAGGATTACAGGAGTAAGCCACCAGCACCCGGCTTCATTCTCTCCTTTAGTAATACATTTTATGGTTAATGACAAAATCCCAATTATCACTGAATTCATTAATGTTGGAGTACAAATAGAGACAATCAATTGGTAGAAAAATTTGTAAAGTGAGATTGATCATTAGGAAGAGTGGTGAATAGAGCCACAAACTGAGATTAAAAAATGTGACTTAAACACATGCACACACACACACACACATGTGCACGCGCGCGCACACACACACACACACACACACACACACACTAAAAGGCAGAATTGCATTAGAGAAATAATAAAGGTTTCGATGGCAAACAATCAGTTACCCACACTAATGGCATTTCAATCATCTTTCATCTATCTTTGTAGATGTTAAGCTGGTGCTGAAATCATTCTACTAATTCTACCTCTCTCCTTCCAAAGATCTCTGTGCTCTTGAAAAACACAAGTAGTACTTTAGCCTCTCCACTCTAAAATGTCTGGATTGGGTATTTTTCATTGAGCCCAGAATAGTTTTTATGGGCTGCTTCTGCCTTCACCTGCACTGCCTGCACTTCTGCTCTCAGGATGGGTCATTCATCCAGCTTCTAAGGCCTTCGGAAATACACACTTGTCACAAACCTCCATATAGCTGTACCTTTTTCCTCTGATTGCCTATGCCTATGTTAATTTTACTTAAGATCCTTATCATTGCCTCCTATTGTGGCATTTAAAAAGACAGTGTAGCAGAAAGCCTAGGAAGAATAATTGTCTAAAATTTTAGGATTGATAGGATGTACAACTGACTATTTAAACTCTATTGCATAAATGATCTTGGGTAATGATCTTGGGTAAACTACTTAACCTCTCTGTGCTTTTCCTCATGTCTGGCACATTTTCTGTAATAATTATGGATGATCTTACTGGCTGAGTGTGTCATTCCAATGAGTTGAGATCCTAATGCCGAGTACCTAATTTGGAAATAGTGATGCTGCGGACCTAACTAATCTCATTATATAGTTCACACTGGAATAAAATGAATCCTTAATCATGTATGACTAGTTTCTCATTAGTAAAAACAGAGAGAAAGAGCTTGTCAATACTGATAGAGATATTGGAATTATACTCCTATAAACAAAGGGATACCAAGGCTATAAGATGAAGAAAGCCAGGGACTGGTGGCTTGCAGCTATAATTCTAGCAACTCAGGAGGAGGGTTCAGATCCATTCAGGACAGGAAAGTCTATGCTACTCTTATCTTGAATTAACCACCAAAAAAACAGAAGTGGTTCTGTGGCTCAAAGTGGTAGAGCATTAGCCTTGAATACAAGAGCTTAGGGGCAGTGCCTAGGCCCTGAGTTCAAGCCCCATGATAGAAAATAAAAGAAGAAAAAGATGGAGATGTAGCTAAGGTCAGTAAGTAAATAGGCCTCAAACCTAGAATTCCCAGCTCCTTGAGAAGAAGAATTAGGAGGATCATAGTTTAAACTATACAGGACAGGACAACAAAACAAAGCAAAACAACAACAAAAATACAGTTAACATTGTGAGTTCATCTCAAAGAATTAACCCAGCATGATGGTTGACATCCATAATCCAAGATATGCAAGAAGCAGTGATAGGAGGATCATCATCAGAGTGTGACCAGGGGGAAAAGCTAGAAACCCCGTCCTAAAATAACTAGAGCAAGAAAGGGCTGTGGGTGTGGCTCACTAGTAGAGTACTTGCCTAGGGACAACCACTGAGGCCTTTAGTTTAAATTCCAGTAGCATCAGAATGAAAAGAAGATCCAAGAAAGAAAGAATTCTTCAAGAAAGGAGATGATCTCCTGGTTCTACAAAACTGAGATTTTGGATATTTAGCCTCCAAATGTGTGAAACAGTAAATTACTATTTTATATAGCCATTTGGTTTTAGTATTTTGCTGTGGAAATCCTAAGGAATGATAGTTGATGTGAGCACTAAAAAAATAAAATTTCAGTAGAGTGCCTAACTCCATGCTCAGCAAATCTCAATTCCCAAGATCTGTGTTACTTCTCAAGCTCTAATAGAAAGTTCTTCAGCTTAGAAGTCACCCTTAGGGCATTCTTTCCTAAGTATGGTCCAAATACATACCACACAGACTACAGACAGCAATGGCATAGCTACTTGTGTAACACATTTTGAATAAATCATTAGTGGATATTTCTTAATTATTCATTTCTTTATGTAAAACATCAGAAACAGTAGGAGTCAATATATTTGTCATAAAATTACAATTGAGGAAATTATTTTCTATACAGCAACTGAATAACATTAAACATATCTGTGATTTTTTACATGGACAGTATTTGAGAAAGTAAATGAAATGGTAGTGAAAGTAATTACTAATTGATATCCAACTTTAAAGAGTTAACATATTTTTGAGAAACCAATTATTCATTTATTTTCAGTACAGTGAAGAAGAAATTTGAAATACTTATCTTCTTTTTCTGTTGGTTGAAATTATCTATGATGACACCAATGAATAAGTTCAAAGTGAAGAATGAGCCGAAGATGATAAAGATGACAAAATAAATGTACATGTAGAGGTTGTATTCATACTTGGGCTGCTCATCCACCTAGAAAATCACTACAAGTTAGCAGTAGGTTGACAAAAATTTCTTTTATCACTTTTGTTTTCATGGGGTTTGATGGGATAGAGCTCTGAGTATTATACTAGGTGAATTCTATATTTTAAAAACCATACCATTATGAGGGCTTAGTGATTTTACTGATATTCATCATCACAATCTTATGCTAAGTGTGCTGCTTGCTTTGTCTTATTGGATCTTCATAAATACCTTACAAGGTAGGTAGTAGATTATACCATATTTTTTTTTAAATGGAAGAATACATTAAGGTTCAGGGAAGGAAAGTTCTTCACTCAAAGTCAGGGTCAGGGCTGGGACAATGTGGTAAAAGCAGAATTTGTGTCAGACTATGGTCATAGGCACTGGGATACTTTTAGGTGAAAGTTCTTTATGTATTTGTACATGTAAGGTATCCATGGAGCTATAGTTTTAAACCACTCAAGTAACCTAAAATGGTTTAAATTGTAAAGTGATATTTTAATCAGTGATATAAATAAATTAATAAATTAGTGATATTTGAATCAGTACTTACATCAACAGAATCCACAGCTGCATACATAATGTCCATCCATCCCTTAAAAGTTGCCTGTGAATATACCATTTATAGATTTGAATATGCAGTTCATATTCTAAAACTTCCATCTAGTTTTTTTTCTATTTAAGCTTACATTTATTAATATTGTTAGTAAGTTTTGCTGTATTTCAAAATGCTAATTTAATCTAAAAACACTATGTTTTAAGAGAAATCAGAATTCTCAATATTTCTCCTAATAAGTACTTCCAAATTATTACAAATACCTGTTAAGTTTACATATAAACTTTTATTTTCCGAAGTGGAACAGAATTCTATGATTCCAGCAGGAAACTTTTTTTTCTCCATTTCTTAAGTTTTAATCTGCCATTAGGAAGTCCCTGTCACCTTAAGGTAAAACTAGAAAGACAAAATGACTACTCTTTTCTGAAGTAATATCTAGGTGGTACCATGATGGGCTCAAGTCATACCAGAGTAGATTTTGAATTAATAATTCTCACATGCAAGAAGCCTTACGCTTCATGACCATAAAGAGATAACTCTTTTTTGAAAGCCACATAACATAAATGTATCTTTAAGTCCTCTTAACAAGTTATTGAAGGAATGACTCATTTCTTCCCTTCAACAGCCCCTAACATAATAAGTACTCATGAGAGGAGTGACTTACGACTTGAAGTAGAGACAGGTAACCAAGTCCAACATTATCAAAGTTAACTTTCAGGTTTTTCCATCGCACATTTGCACTGCCATTCATAAGGGCAAAGCACTCTGAACGATTTTCAACTTGACTTGTAGAAAATCTCGTCCCATCTGTGGTATTTACACACTCGTAGAACTTGCCAGCAAACAAATTTACTCCCATGATGCTAAATATTAGCCAGAATATCAGACACACGAGAAGTACATTCATGATGGAAGGAATTGCTCCTATCAGAGCATTTACAACCACCTAGTATCCAAAACAAAGTAGACTCAGTATGACCAGAAAAGGCCACATAGGCAACATCAAGGTACAATTAAAAAGAGTAGAACAACCTCTTTAAATACTTAAGACATCAAATCACCCAACCAGTATATATGTATTGAATGTCTACACTACTGTATGCTCAATACCAAGACAGAGGTAGCCTTAACTCCTGTCAATACTGGACTATAAATTTCATAGTTCACACAGTAAAACTATTATCAAAAACACAAAACAAGCAACATGATATTACAATCTTAAACAAAAATCAAATTAATATTAATATACAAACAACCTGATATTGATAAGATGAAATTCTGAAATTGGCACACTCCAGAAATGATAAAAAATTAAGTAAGATGCACATATAAAGTCATTAATCACAGAATTACCAGCATTGGATATTCTCCAGGATTAATTGCTTAAATGGAATTGTTAGGAGTATTCTAATGGTTTGAGCTCTTTAGATAGAGATGCTTTTCAAAATGAGAGCAATCTTCTTGAATTTATGATCTTAAGTCTCAAAATAATTTTATTTAAGCAGTTAGCCAAATATAGACATTGTCAGTCTCAGCTAAGACCAAAACCAAAGAATATTCTCCTTTTATTTCTGCTCTTCAGCATTTCCTCTGCTATTGACCGCCAGAAATCTGAATCATTTCCTCTGCTATTGATTGCCACCATACCCTTCTCCATGGCAACTTCTGTAGCACTTATTTCTTGCTACTCTTCCCTATTATTCCTATCACCCAGACACATAGTTCTTTCTAGTAATTGCCCCCCAAACATCCTGCAAAGTTGTAATATACTGAATAGTTCAGGTAAACAATCATAGTGGAATGATGTGCAATTATGCTGGCCTAGACAGACAAGGCAAACTCAAATTGAGATTAATGGAAGAAGGTGTTGGCATTGATAGTGTCTTGACTGCTACATTGCTGATGGTGAGTTGTGGTTAAAACAGCAGGGACAAGATGGGGGAACACAGGAGGAGAAAGAAGACTCAATGCTGACTAGGAAGAAACTCAAGGAGAGAGGCAACAATAAGAACTGATTGTAGAGAATATATCCACTGTCTTGCATGTCTGTTAGGAAGGAATTGCTCGTTAATACAGATGCTAGATAGAGCAGACTGGTGTTAACTTTGTTAGTTCTCCATAAATATCTGCTTAGATGCTACACACCATAGGGAAATAAAGGAAACTATCAAAGTTTTAGCTTTTATTAAATGCAATTTAGATATAATTCCAATAGTTTGGAAATATTACTTTAAGGATGAAGAAGGTAGTATGACAGCTGTTTGGATCAATTTCTTAACAATATCATACACACATACACAACACACACACACACACACACACACACACGAAGGATTATGGTGTTTATTTGTTCATTTTAAAAATAATATGTACTGTGAAATAACGGGCTAAAAATCTGTACATATGTACTTAAGGTTAGGAAATTGAGTGTTTTCTTACCCTCATTCCTTCAAATCTAGATAGGGCTCTCAGAGGTCTCAAAGCTCTCAGTGTCCGAAGGGATTTAATAGGGCCAAGATCTGAGTAGCCCAGAGTGCTTGCAACTAAAGTAACCAAAGAAACCTGTATAGAAAATTAAAAAAAACATTAATTGGTTTAATGAATCAATAAATTATAAAGGGAAATGTTGATTTCAAAGAGCATTAAAATAGGATAAATACAAGCAATATAAGTTTCTATGCCACATTATTTCAACATGACCTCAAAACTGGTACCATTGAGGCTTTTGAAAGGAAAAGGGATGTCAGGGGTAGCTAAACAAAGTAAAAGAGAAAAATAGAAAAAATAAAACAACGCATATAACTTTTACATTTTTTTTGTAGTTGGTAGTCATGTATCGTTTGCTAAATGGGAATATTTAACTAGATCAATTATCCAAATTTCAGTTGAAATGAAAATCCAAGGCATAAGATTCCAAAGCTGCCATAAATCTATGGCATTGACTCAACTAAACGTAAGTCTGAGCATGAACCTTTTTTTTCAGAAGCCTTCTCAAAACTAATGAATTTAAGATCACACTACAAAACAAATTACTTGTATCCTTCCATTTCTGAGGATTGACACAGTATTTATCATTTATAATTTGTGAAAGGATTTTCAGTTATTTTGAAGGGAATAAGAGATCAAATTATCTTATTGGTTCTAAAATAGACCTGAACTTTTAAGAACTTTCTCAAATAAAGAAGACTAGCCACAATGACCATACGCAGAATCCAAGAGAAATTGTTTTTTCACAAATTATTTCAAAAAAGATCATTGAACAGAAAGGCAATCGACATTCATTTTACAAGCAGAAGAGGGAGTTCCTCAATGAGTTTAGATTTAGATCTGAAAGTGCATTCAGAAAACTCATGTTTAAATATTCATTTAAATATTCATTTGTAGTTAAGTGTCTGAGTGCTTGAACAAACCCCAGGCTAAAAACTAAGAACCTCAACAACAACAACAACAACAACAAAAACAATTTCTAAAATATTTACTTCCCATTTTGTACCAGGAGACAATGTCTAAGAACAATATCTAGGATGTCTTCAATATGAATTAAGGTATTAGTAATTTAAGAGATTGAAGTTATCCAGAGAAGAACATTTGAGAATCAACTTCCTTATATTTAAATTATTTAGGGAAGAAAATCCCATTGGCTACAAGTTTGCTGTTACTTCTATTTGAGACAAGTAAATTAATTGATATAGTAGGAGGTGTTAAAGTAGGAGGTGTTAAATGTTACAGTAAATGTAACATTAGTATTATTTCGGGAAAAAACCTGTTTCCTCTTTACAAGGTACTCTTTTCCATTACTCAACCACTCTCTAGCTTTTGATTTTGTTTTCTTATCTGGTCATGAGGTTTGAACTCAGATCTTGGGCACTGTCCCTGAACTTTTTTGCTCAAGGCTGGCACTCTACCACTTTGAATCATAGCTGCACTTCAGTTTTTCTGGTGGTTAATTGGCGATGTGAGACTCATGCACTTTGCTGGCCTGGGCTAATGTTTCAAACCTGAATCCTCAGATCTCAACCTCCTTAGCAACGAGGCCTGGGCCACCAATACCCCGCTCTAGTGTTTTCTTCTCTTCTCTTTTTTCCTTTCTTTCTTCCTTCCTTCCTTCTTTCCTTCCTTCCTTCCTTCCTTTCTTTCTTTCCTTCCTTCCTTCTTTCTTTCCTTCTTTCTTTCTTTCTCTCTTCTTAATATTAAAAGCAACAACATATAAATTAGAATTAAAAGTTTTCTTTTGATTGTAGAAAACATGATACAAAAGTTTATTTGAATGTGAGAGAAGTCACAAGCGAAATGACTTCTGTTGAAGAATTTCTGTTCTACTATTAACCATAGACACATTTCTACTGCCTGTACAAATATGGTTAAAAACATGAACATGAAACTATCAAAGGTAAAAATTGGATAATATGTAAATGTGGTGAAAATGTTCAGGAAACTTAAGAATGCATAATCGTTTGCAATTTGCTCCAGTGTACTTACATCAACAATTAAGAAGTCCAGCCAACACCAGGCATTGGTGAAATAGGTTTTGTAACCATATGCCACCCACTTGAGAAGCATTTCCAGAATGAAGATGTAAGTGAATATTTTGTCAGCATATTCCAGGATAGTCCTAATAGTCTTTTTCTTTTCAATATAGATATCTTCGAAAGCCTGTTGACAGAATATTAAAATTTCCATTTATGCACAACTTAGAACTAATGATTCATAACCAAAGCAGGAAATAGGGTTCTGAAGGTAAGAGGAACACACTGCAGCACTGCTGTGAGCCAGCCCATTCCAGTTCATGCTACTTCATAAGAGTTCTCCCCAGTTGCTACCAGAAGCACATGGAGAGGGCAGAGGAAATAAATTACCTAAAGTCTTCTGTCAGATTCATGATGGCTGATATCTGCAGTGATTTCTACCTTCAACTGATGCTTTTCTCTCCTTTTCAAATTGAATGAGTTCAGACAATTTAAGATGCCACCCTAGGGTCAGACCCTCTTTTAATTCTCATCTTGAACTTCCCTTCTTACCTACTATTGGACTTGTAACTTCTCCTTGTTTATACATTCCACCTCCCCCCCCCAGTCCCCGACCATCAATCATAACAAAAACAACGCAGGAGGTGGAAAAGGGTTTTGCAAAATGTATCATTATAGTAGTATAATAAGGCTACAGAATATAATTGACTTTTCTCTTGGAATTCTGCAACTATGTTTTATCATTCATCAACAACTTTGACTCTGCAAATTACTTTTAAATTCACTCTATGAATGTGGCACTTATTTATTCTCCAAGAGTTTTTGTTAAATGAGACCCAAGATGATTTCATGGTCGTAGCCACAAATCTCTTGAGAAATAATGAAGAATGAGACTCACTAAGATGCTGAAAATAATTATTCCTAATCAAAACTAAATCATGAGGACGTTTGGGATATTGAAGCACTCTTTACCTTGGTGGGAGAATGATATCTCAAGGATCTATAATTTCATGTCTTAACATTGTGTTATCTATTGAAGGTTATTAAGTTGTGTCATTCTTCTTCTTTTGTACAAAGTCATGCTGTCAGTATTTTCAAAACTATCTTTAGCAATTAAAAATGAGCAGCTGATATTAATATTAAAGAAAATAAGGAAGTTGAGACAGAGGAAGGATAGATCTGCTAAGTGCATGAAAAAGGTGTCAGCAATGATCAAGGTCCTGAAAGTGAGTAGAATCAAAGTTCAGGAAAGGATTCTAAATATCAGGACTTCTTTTCCCTTTCTTCAAGTTCTGGAGCAATCAAACAAGTCACTCAAACACAAATTTGCAATGACTTAGTCATTAAAATATGACAACAAAGAGGGTTAGTCCTAAGGAAGAAGAAGCCTGTTCTTAGATCTTGGGTTCAGTTTCCTAGCAGGATTCACAATAGTGGGAATCAGTGTAGACCTCATTCTAATAGGTCTTGCTGCCTGACGGGGCTCAGCTGCAGGCTTCCAAGTCCCAGGGCTGATTTCCTTGATGTAGGAGCCAGAGGAGAAGGATGCCATCATACCAAATCTACTTGATTTGTGGCTTTAGTTTTCCTGATACTAACTTCAGCTACCACTCATTTATTTATTTTACTTTTGGTATTTTCTTTTTATAAGTGAAGAAAACAATTGTTGTGAAGTTTTATCATAACTAAGTTACTGTAACTCAGCTCTATCCATTACTAGATTTGAACACCCAGCTAAATTTTAAACTCACCTTCCTAATTGAGAGAATGAGGAAAATACTATTACTTCACAGAGCTGTTTGAAAATTAAATGAGAAGATCTAGATAAAGATTCAAAAAAACAATACATATGTACTCAAAGTATTGAGCTTTATTGATACTTTTAGAGATTTTTTATCATTTCTAATTATCTTTAAATAGTAGTACAAGGAGTTTCAATTCAGCCTGTCAATTTATATGTACATGTTAATGTACATTTATATGTACATGAGTGGGCACCAAGTCCCCAAATAAAAAATATTAACTTTTTTAAATTCTTCCTTTTTGTCCTCATATGATTCATTTGAATTCTGGCTTTAAATATCCTCTCTTTCAAAAATATCACCTTAGGTGTGGGAAGGTGGCTCAGTGGTAGAGTGCTTGCCTTGCATGCATGAGGCTCTGATTCCTCAGCACCACATAAGCAGAAAAAGCCGGAAGTGGCACTGTGGATCAAGTGGTAGAGCGCTAGCCTTGAGCTGAAGAGCTGAGGGACAGTGCCCAGGCCCAGAGTTCAGGCCCCATGACTGACCAAAAAAAAATTTCATCTTAGTTTTTAGACATTTTCAACAATGGAGTACTCTAAACCTCTCTTTTATATTTGAAATTTCTTCCTCAATCATATTCATGGTATTAAACTTCTTTGGTTATTTGAACTGTTGTTACAGATAATGCTAAGATGCCTCCCTGGAAAACACCAAATAAGTAAAGTAGTTCTCTTCTCATTTTATTTCCTGTTTTTGAGGTATAAGATGTATTTGGAAATCTCTAGTGGATAGTTGGCAGGACCCAGGATCCTAATAGCTCCTAATAGCTCATCTCTGCTAGAGTCAGCAGGAAAGAAAGGCAATTAGCAAAAGCTCAGTGAACCTGTAGCTCTCTCAGATCTCTTTCAAGCTGCATAGAAAGTACTTGTATATCTAAATATATATACATATATATATATATGAATGAATGAAAACTTGTCTCATTCTGCTTTTAGACTACCATTAGTCTTCCTCTATAAAAGCATGTTCATTCCTCATGAACTGACTCATGCTTACCATTCTTAAACTATCTGAACAACTGTACTTGTTCTTCCTACCACAGCATTCTGTAAAATTCAGCCACTTTTAATCCCTTGGATAATTATTATGTCTTTTAGCATTGTATACCTTGTCCTCTAAACTACCTTTCTTGGCTGAAAATAAAGCTTATTCTTTCTAGACTTTTCACAATCTAATATCCTAAAATCAAAGCATACCATACTGTCTTTGCTAACAACTTTATGTATACATTCCATTTATAAATATACCTTGTTCTGTAATCATTGTCTCTCTCATTAGCCACTCAGCTTCCTGAGAATAGTTCCTGTATCCGATCCATCTTGGTATTCAAGGAAGCATGAATAATGTTGGGCATGTAGAAGATCTCATTAAATATTCACTGAGAACCACTAATTTTTTTGTCCTTGGTAGTCACAAGAGTTAATTCTTCAGTTTTTAAAAAACAAACTGGTTACGATGTTTTATCTTCCAGATCATTTATTAAAAGTACCGGCAATCAGTTTATTGACTTAGGTGTGAGATCACTTACCAGAGCTCCACTGCTGAGCAGGATCATGAGAACAATGAAGCTTTCAAACCAACTGTGTTCTACTATCCTGTAGCAGGTTTTTCGGATGTTCCACCAGATTTTCCCTTTTCCTGAGTCTATGTTAACTTGGCAGCATGGGAATCTCCGTACACAACCTAGCCAGAAAGACATGTATGTAAAGCCTCAATATCCAGGATAAATAAACTGGTTAAGTAACAATGAATGAGGTTTCCAGTTCCTGTTTACCTTCACCTACACAAAATGGCACTGACAGAAAAACAGAGCCATCCTAGCAGTTATGTAATGATAAGTCGAGATTTTGATTTATATTTTCTTCATGACTAATTACCCAGAAAATGTATCTTTGTGGTGACTTACAGGGCTTATTATGTGAGGACTGTGCATCTACTAAAACATTTAGACTAATAAAAAGTATATGTTATCAATTGAAATCTATTTCTGTGATGCACCCACAACTAGATAATTTCTAATGCCTAAACCTATAGTTTCAGGTACACTCAATTTGGAGGCCATTTTCTCTCATCTTCTAAATTGCATAGTGTTTTGTTATGAATTAGCAATCATTTTAAATGTTTAGTATATTGGGCTCTGATTTCTTATCAATCTCTTCCATGCTGTTTAAAATCACATTGGTTTGATGAATGAATGATGATGACTTAGTGAATCAATGAACTAAACTCTAAGGAATTCTGAGGGCAAATGGATTTGAAGGTTTCTTATTTAATAATATGACTGGAGATGCTTCTATTCTTCTATTAAAATCTTTTTGAGAAACATTTTCATAAACAACGTGAAAAGCAATAACAATTTCTAAAATTAAGTCTAAAAGAAATATATCTTTATTAAAAGATGTAAACATATGAAAATGGCAATGTTGTCAAAGGCTATCTTCAAATTCAATGTAAATGCTTATCAATATTCCAACCTCATGCTTCAAGGAAATGGAAGGAGCTATCCAAAAATTCATATGGAACAATAAGAGATCCTGAATAGCAGAGACAATCCTTAGCAGAAAAAAAACAGTGATGAAAGAATATCAATACCAAACTCCACTACAAAGCCATAGTAATCAAAACAGCTTGGTACTGGCACAAGAACAGACTTGAGGACCAATAGAATAGAACTGAAGACCTAGAAATGAACCCACAGACCCTATAGCCACCTAATCTTCGATAAGGGAGCTAAATAAATAGAATGAAAGAAAGACAGTCTCTTCAGTAAGTGGTGTTGGAAAAATTGGGTAATCACCTGTAGAAAACTAAAGCTAGATCCTTATATATCACCTTTACAAGTATCAATTCCAAATGGATCAAAGACCTCGAAGTAAAAGCAGACACCCTGAAAACATTATAGGGAAGAATAGGAGAAACCCTAGGTCTCCTTGGCACAGGCCAAAATTTTCTTTTTTTAGTAAGTTTTTTTTAATGAGAAAATACTGTACAGAGGGGTTACAATTACATGAGCAAGGAAATGAGTACATTTATTATCAAGCATTGTTGCCTCCTCCTTTGCTTTTCCCCTTACCATCCCTTCCCTCCCACCTCCACAACTACACTCACCCCTCTCCATTGCCAAAGTTGTAAAGTTTGTTTTTCCACCTATAATCTTGTATATCTCATTGTTGCAATGGGTCCACCTGTATCCCTATTTAAACAATTTATTTTATTCCCTTCCCCTCCACAAATTATATCAACATCAAATACAGTGAAAACAGGGGTTATACCGTGGAACAGGGACTTACAAAGCAACAAAAAAAATCATTGTATAAATATGTTAGAAATAATAGCAAGAAAGAAAAAAAAACTTGTGTCCTTATCTTGAGATTCATTTCACCTAACATCATCTTATCTGACCTTTTCTGCTTGTCTCAGAGATATACTAGTTATTGCAAATAAGGGAAACCACGGGACCTATGTTTCTTTGAGCCTGGCTTACTTCACTTAATATAATTTTTTCCAGTCTTTCCATTTCCTAACAAATGGGCCAATGTCATTCTTTCTGATGGAGTCATAGACTTTCATTGTGTATATATACCACATTTTCTTGATCCATTCATCTACTGAGGGGCATCTGGGTTGGTTCCTTATCTTAGCTATGGTAAATAATGCTGTAATAAACATAGTTGTGCTGGTAGCTTTAGTATGGTCTTGTTTGGGATCATTTGGGTAAATGCCCAAAAGTGTGATTGCTGGGTCATAGGGGAGCTCTATGTGGAGTCTTTTGAGGAATCTCCATACTACTTTCCAAAGTGGTTGAACAAGTTTACACTCCCACCAACAATGCAGTAGGGTTCCCTTCTGTCCACATCCTCTCCAGCATCTGTTGTTAGACTTCTTGATTACAGCCATTCTAACTGTGGTGAGGTGCTATCTCAGTGTTGTTTTCATTTGCAGGATCCTAGCAGAGAACTTCCCAAACATGCAACAAGATAGGCCTATTCAGATATAAGAAGCTTTTAAAACCCCAAATAGACAAGACCAGAACAGGACATCCCATGGTCACATTATAATCCGCACAGGATCAACTCAGACCAAGGAAAGGATTCTTAAAGCTGTCAAGGACAAAAGATCAATCACCTACAAAGGGAAACCAATTAGAATAACCTCAGATTTCTTAGCAGAGACAATGAAAGCAAGAAGAGCCTGGATAACATGTGCCATGCCCTAAAGACAACTATCAACCAAGAATACTGTATCCAGCTATACTCTCCTTCATAACCAAAGGTCAAATAACAACTTTCCATAGCAAAGAAAAACTGAAATAACCTATCTCCACCAAACAAGCCCTACAAACGATACTTAAAGATGTCCTACACATAGAAAACCAACAAGACCACAATAAAGGCCAAGAAACCACACCCACACCGAGAATTCAAGAACTATAGAACCAAGTTGTCGCAGCCCCCAAGAAGGTGGATAATATAGCAGGAACTCCCAAACACCTCTCAGTCCTAACTCTCAACATTAATGGACTGAACTCTCCCATTAAGTGACAGACTGTCTAGTTGGATTAAAAAGGAAGATCTTTCTATCTGCTGCCTTCAAGCGTCACACCTTGCCCATCAAAACAAACATATTTTGAAAGTGAAAGGCTGGAATAAAATCTACCAAGTAAAGGGCCCCCATAAACAGGCAGGAGTTGCAATCCTAATATCAGATAAAATAGACTTCAAATTAAAATTAGTGAGAAGTGATAAAGAAGGTTGCTACATACTAATTAAGGGAACTCTCCTTCAGGAGGATATTACAATTCTATATATTTACCAAACAACAGAGCACCCAAATTTATCCAAGAAACACTACTTTCTTGCAAATTTCACATAGATCCAAAGACATTAATTTTTAGGGATTTTAACTCACCACTCTCCCCACTAGGTAGATCAACTTGGCAAAAAATCAGCAGAGAAACCACAGATCTAAACAACTGCATAGACCAAGTAGATTTAACAGACATCTACCCAATATTTCACCCAGCAGCATCAGAATACACATTCTTCTTAACAGCATATTGAACATTTTCCAAAATAGACCACATTTTAGGTCACAAAGCAAACTTGTCCAAATTCAGAAACATTGAAGTTAGGCTCTGCGTTCTCTCACACCACAAGGGAATAAAATTAGCACTCAATACCAAAAGCCACCAAAGAAAGTTCTGTAACACATGGAGGCTGAACAACACACTGTTGAGTCACCAGTGGGTCATGGAAGAGATTAGAAAGGAATTCAAATGTTCATGATATTCAACAAAAACGAACACACATACCACCAGCTCCTCTGGGACACAGCAAAGGCAGTACTCAGAGGCAAGTTTATAGCTGTGAGTTCCTACATCAAAAATTGGAGAGATCTGAAACCAACAATTTAATGAGATATCTGAATTTCCTTGAAAAAGAGCAGGAAACTAAACCCCAATCCAGTAGTTGGAAAGAAATAATTAAAATTAAATCAGAATTAAATGAATTAGAATCCACAAAAACCATATAATCAACAAAATTTTCTTAATGAAGACCCAGAAACCCAACAAATTAAAGAAAGTTTGAGCAAATGGAATTGCATGAAGCTGCAGAGCTTCTGAATAGCAAAGGACATAGCTAGCAAGGTCAATAGAAAACCCACAGATTGGGAGAAGATCTTCACTAGCCATACAACAGACAAGGGCCTCATATCTAAAATATACTTAGAACTCAAAAAATTAAATCCCCCAACAACAAATGCTCAAAGAAACAACTCCCTGATTAATAAGTGGGCTAAATAGTTAAAGAGAGACTTCTCTGAAGGGGAAATAAAAATGGCCAATAGACACATGTAGAAATGCCATAAAAGAAATGCAAATCAAAAAGACATTGAGCTACACCTCACCCTAGTTAGAATGGCTATAATCAAGAACTCTAATAACAGATGCTGGAGAGGATATGGCCAAAAGGGAACCTACTGCATTGTTGGTGGGGAATGTAAACTTGTTCAACTGCTTTGGAAAGCAGTGTGGAGAGTCCTCAAAAGACTCCACATAGAGCTCCCCTATGACCCAGCAATAGCACTTCTGGACATTTACCCCAATGATCACAAACAAGACCATACTAAAGCTACCAGCACAACTATGTTTATTGCAGCATTATTCACTATAGTTAAGATATGGAACCAATCCAGATGTTCCTCAGAAGATGAATGGATCAAGAAAATGTGGTATATATATATATATATATATATATATATATATATATATATATATATATATATATATATATATTTACAATGGAATTCTATACCTTCATCAGAAAGAATGACACTGCCCCATTTGTTAGGAAATGGAAGGACTTGGAAAAAATTATATTAAGCCAAAACCAAAGAAACATAGGTCCTATGGTTTCCCTTATTCACCGTAACTAGTATACATCTAGGATAATCATACCAGACATGTAGAAAAGGTTAAAAGTTATGTACAAATGACCATATAAGATGATGTTAAGCAAAAAGGACACAAGAGGGTTTTCTTTGTTGTTGTTGTTGTTTTTAATGTACTATATGATTATTTTGTTTCTTTTGTATGTTCTTCACCCATGGTATAATCCCTGTTTTCACTGTATTTGATTGTGGTGCCCTGCATCTTCTATATACATTTTTCTAATTTGGGGAAT